AAGAGGGCTCCACGATCGCCCAAGAGGGCCCCAAGAAGGGCCAAAGAGGGGGAACACGAATCGACAATTCGAGCCTTCCACCCCAAGAGGCCCCCAGGAGGCCCCAATATGCTCCAAAGAGGCCCCAAAACGGTCCCCAAGATGCCCCCAAAAGGCCCTAAGAGGCTACACAACGCGCCCTACGGGGCTCGTGTTATTTCATGGGGTTTGTTCTACTCGTTGTCCTTCTGCTCCCCTTGCTGCCCTCCCCATCATCCACGCTGTCATCCTCGTCAGCCGCCGCCTTGTCCTCGCCATCATCTCTTTCTTCTTTTTCCCCTGCGAGGCATCGGCGCTTCCCGTTCTGGTCCGATCAGGTTTCAAACACCTGGCAGAGCAGGCCGTCGCTGACAGTCACGTTGGAGCCAGCTGCTTATCTCAATTGCCGATCTTCGGGCAGCAGCTTGAAGGCATCGTGCATCAGCCCATTGTCAGGTGACCCCTGCCCAGTCGACGTCAGCATCGCTTCCTTGTTTACCACAGATGGCAAGGCCTTCGCGGACCCGACCCTGAAGCCTCCTTATGCTTTGGATGATCACGCAACAGCATAATACCTACCCGCACCCAGTCGCCCATGTAGATTCCAGCGAGGCAGGGGCGCAACAAGAGTGGCCCGAGCTACGGTGGCAGGATGTGCGCCGAGTGGTTCGCCTCCTCCCCCTCCCCCTGCAATCCTCTTCGTCCTTCTGCTCCAACCCTCTTTGGCCTCCTCGAATCCCCTTCCTCCGCCAGTTCTCTTCATTTTTTGAACAAGCGCGAAGAAGCCCTGTGGCGCGGGGAAGGGGGGGGGAGACAGGCGGGGGGAAGGGGCGGGAGGGGAGACGGGGTGAAACAAGACGGGGCAGCTCAACCCGGAGCCGCCAGCGTTAGCCTCAATCCGGCGGAACGGCCTGCGACACGAGCCGCCGTCGCAGCGCGGCGCGCCAAGCCGCCACGGGCCCCCCGGCCCGCTCCGCTTTGGGCCAGCACCAGCGCGGCGACGCGGGGCGGCAGCGAAACGGCCCAGCCAGGACATGGCCAGGCCGCCAGCACCGGCCAGCGCGGGGCCGCCGCGCCGCACTGGAGGCAGGCGACCCAGCTGGGGCCCTGCGACGCCACGTGCGGCGCCCATGCGCCGCCCTCGAACAAGGCCCTGGCGGCCTCGGCGGCGCCTCGCTGTGGCAGTCCTTGCCCCGCAGCCCACGGCCGCCGGGGGCGGGGGGGGGGCCGTCCTGCGGGCGCGCCTGCCGCTGCCGCTTGCACCGGTGGCCGGCACTGCTGCTGGCCGGCGTGGGCAGGGAATGCCCGCCGCGGCGGCCCGCCCGTCCAGCGTCGGCGCACCCGGGGACCCCCTGGCCCCGTGGCTTCGTGGTTCGCCCGCAGCGCGGCAAGCTCCACGGCCGCCAGCAAGCGCTGGAGCACCCAGAGCGCGTGCAGCTGCACTTGCCGCTGCGTGCAAAGGCCCGACGTGGGGAGCTGGGCGCGCGCCGCGGCTCTCGCCTCGCAAACTGGAACATCTACATTACCAGTGGCGGGCTCTCTTTCAATCCCAGGACTTTTTGAGGGTCGGGGGCGACGTCGGGGTGGTGTGGTGTGTATGTTTCCCCCGTTTTCCCAGGGATAACGTAACATGTATACACCAGGATCCCGTATACACCAGAATCCGCGTTCCTGTGAGAATTTCAACGCAGGGTCGGGAAAAAGCGTCGGTGTATAGAGTTTGTTTCCCTACTCGCCAGCGCGTCGGCGTCCGCGTTGCCCGCGCGATCCTCCGGGGCGACGCCCTGGGTTGTCGCGGCCTCCTCGTCGAGGTGCCCCTCCACTTATCGCGTTGTGACGTAGCCGCTCTGGCAATGCGGCGTCATGACCTCCCATAGGTCCTCGTGCGTCCACTCGCTGGGGCGCGCGCTGGCATGCAGCGCCGCGATCCCGTGGCACACGTATTTGGAGTCTGAGGCCAGCTCCAAGGGGGTCCCAGCCTCGCTGACGGCGTTCACGGCCGCGCTGAGCTCCGCGCGCTGCGCGGTCTGGGCCCCGCCGACAGGCCCGCTGCGGCGCCGCGACACGCCGCTGGGCCCCTGCAAGCGCACTCCCCAGCCGGCCCGGGCCAGCAACGGATCCGTGGGGTGCTCGCAAGCGCCGTCGCTCCATGCCCGCACTCGGGCCTGCCCGCGGGCCACGGCCGGGGGCGGCAGCGGGGGCGGCGGCAGCTGCTGCTGGGCCAGCGCGGCGAGCGCGGCCAGGCGAGCGTCCGTGGGTAGCGCTCCAGAGAGCTCGACCCCCAGGGGCAGGCGTGCCAGCATGGCGGCCTCGCTTAAGCCGCCAGCCCGCAACTCGGCGCGGCGGCGCGGCGGACCTCGTGCCACTTGGGGCACCTCCAGAAGCGGTGCTCGCGCGTCTCGTCCGCGGTGCCACAGTGCGGGCAGCGCGGGGGGCGGCCCCACCTCGCGGCCACCGTCTCGGTGACGAGGTTGCCCGTGAGGACCGCGCGCAGGGCGCCGGCCACGTCCGGCGCGAGCTCCTCGCTTTCCAGCATGCGTCGGGTGGCCCAGCGGTCGAATCCGTCCGCGAAGTGCCCGAGGTCGGCGCGCCGCCGAGCCACCGCACGAGCTTCGCGCCGTGCCCAAGCGTTCAGCAAGGCCGCGCGGGTGTCCTGCAAGGGTCGGTCGCCCGGCCGCCAGCCCTCGGAGGCCCACGGCACGCCCTGCCAGCACTCGATGTCGCCGCCGAGGCCGAGGTCGGCCATGCTCCGCCGCACAGCTGCGAAAGGCCCCTGATGGCGACCGTGGCCGGCATCCACTGCGCCTGCAAGGTCACCCCAGAGCTCGAGCGGCAAGCGCTGGCGGCGCAGCGCCTTCGCCGCCTGCCACAGCGGGACAAGGGCAGCGACCGCGGGGTCGAGGCGCCAGCTCGGACTGAGCACGCCGAAAACGATCTCAGCCGCCGCCCGCAGCCCGCCCCGGCAAACTGCCTGCCGCGCGGCCGACCGCAGGCTGGCCAACTCCCGCTCAGGAGGCCGGCCGCGCGAGGCGCCGCACATGCCGGCGGCCGTGCCAGCCGCCGCGCCGAGCAAACAGCGCTGCCGGAAGCCGACCGGCAGCCGGGCGATGCGGGCGAACCGCCCCGCCGCCACTTGAGTCCGCGCACCGGTCACCGCGCGGCGGCGGCCTCGCCCTGCAGTGGACACGACGCCAAGGTCACGGATGCCACAGCTGGCAGCAGCACTTGGGGTTTGCGAGCGGAGCCAGCGGCGGAGGCAGGCACTGTTCGCGAACTGGCGGCTTCTGTCCGCGTTGAGGCGCCAGTGCATGGCTGCTTCGAGCTCCGCAGTTCATCGGAGCGCCGCGCGCAGGGCCTCCCCAACCTCGGCCGCCTCGCGCCCGGCGCCGCGCGCTCAGAGAGTGAAGCCGTCGACGTAAATCCTTTGCTGGAGGCGGTCGTCGATCCTTCCGCCACGCCGCTGCCAAGGCCAGGTCAGCACGCTGAGGAAAAAGACGGCCAGGGGGCATCCCGGGAGCATGCCGCTGGACGGCGTCCAGGGCTCGCTGATCGCCCGGCCTACCTGCACCCGTCGCTGCGCCGATAGGCCGCCAAGGCCAGCGCCACCACCCAGCGCGGCACTCCAGCCCGCTGCAGGATGGCGGGGAGCGAGTGCAGCCCATCATGGTCGTAGGCCTTACGCCAATCCAGGGCCGCGCCAGCGATGGTCTCCCCCAGGGCCTCCGCCGCCTCCAACTCCAGCGCGAGTTCCCAAGCGGGTTCTTCTGCGCCGCGCCAGTCGTCGGCGCCGCCCCAGCTCAGCCGCCATTGCGCGAACAGGCGTGCGCTTCCCACCGCCCACGTGCGGTGCAGAAGGGGCAGCAGCTATATGGGACGTCTGTTAAGAGGCCCAGCCCCCCCGTCAGCTTTAGGGCTGGTCGCCTCCACCTCCGCCAATTCTCTTGACATTTCCCTGAGATCCGACGTTGCGAACCAACGTCGGCATCACGAGAAATAGCGACCAGAGCCCTACGCCCCCTCCTTCTGCGGCACGTTTCGGGCCAGATCGATCTGTGGTGGCCCCAGTGCCGAAACTGGGCGAACCGCCCGGCGTGAAGCATTTGCAGCGCCCCAATCTCAGGGCCCTCCTCCTCCTCAGACTTTCGGAACTCTAGTTTTTTTTCGGCGCGAGGACACCTGGAGGTCTGGAGAGTTAGAGCTTGCAGAGAGGATGCGAGCGGACTCTATTGCACGAGCAGCTCTAGATCCAATTGCTTTGACACGCCTTATGCAGATGGCAGCAGCAGGCAGTCAGCATGCAGCACGAATGATGAGAGGTGCTGAGCGATTTCGATTTACATTCAGTGCAGATTTGAATCGCATCGATGACGAAGCAGTGAGGGTATTGCCCTGACCCAGCTTAGGCAGTGCGCAGCGCCCGAGCGGCAGCAGCTGAAGCCGCTCTTTCTTGCTCCCTCCCTCCCCAGAGAGCCTCCTCCCCCCTCCCTTCTCGTTCTTCTTGACTGCGGCGAAAAGGGTGGGAAGTGAGAAGGAGAAGGCCTTCTCAGAAGGTTCGGAAGTCTCCTGGCCTTCTGAAGCAAATGTTCTACGGCTTTTCCGAAGGCAGACAACAATTCTCAGAAGGCGCGGGGGCTTTGAGACGTCCCGCCGCCTTCTGAGAAAGCCTTCTCCTTCTCATTTCCCCCCTCGCTCGCCGCCGATCTTGAGGTTCGGGAAGCATCTATACCACTAAATGGGATACCAGTTGCTGTGCACTGCGACCTTTCGGAGCTGTCGCGGGTGCCCCCCCGCTCCGCGGGACACCCTCTCTCGCCCGCTGGCTGCCTGAGCATGTGCATTTCATGCCCGTCAGTCTTCTGAGGCGCGTGAGCGAGCTCCGCACAAGGGGTGCCCTTTGCGCAGCGTGTGCCCGACCGCGTGCGCCCCCGAGCGCAGAGCCGAGCCGAGCCGAGCCGCACCTCGGCGCCCGCCGGCCTCTCCAGGCCACCGCGGCGATGTACGACGAGTGGTTCGCCTCGCGCGCGCCCGCGGTCCTCACCGCCCACCTGCTGCTGGGCGGGCAGCGGAACGAGGCCGCCCTGGGAGCGGGGCGCTGGGCAGGGCCGGCGGGGGGCGCTTGGAAGGGTTTGGGTCGCTGTCGGCTAGCCAGGCGGCAGACTGGGAGTCCATTCCCCAGTCGGTGCTTGCGCGGAAGGGGTCCTGGCGGAAGTGGAAAGGTGTGGCGAAAGTTTCCCGCCGATTTTGGTAGCAGGCTGGGTTCCCGGGTTCCCGGTTCTGGGTTTCCGGGTGCCCGGTTATAAGTTCCGGGCCAGCTCCTGGGTTCCCGGTCGATCTCCTCAGCGAACACCATCCATTGATTGGGGCTTTATTCGAATAAGGCGTAAGGACAAGGCGGCTGCGTTCCCGCTGCAGGCGGGCAGGTGAGCACGCCTAACAGCTTTGCAACCCGGCGCCCGACAGGCCTTGGTGACGATGGGTGTAGACAGCACGGACAACATCGACCACCTCATCATCGAGGAAGGGGGTATGGCACAGAAGGAGTTGAAAGTAGGCAGCAAATTGGCGTCTAAGCTTCATAAAGGGCGGGGTCTTCGGGCTGCGTGCGTGGAAGGCGTCTCGGACTGTCGTGAAGGCGTCGTGGGCTAGCTTGACTGGGTCATTTGCTGTTTTTAGCGCCATGCTGGGGCTTCCGAAACCGTTTTTGAGTCGCCTTTGAGCCCCTCCCTCAGCGAGATGGGTGGGAAACCCGATCTTGCTGAAGACCACGGAAGGGGACGGGCTCGAACACATCTGAGACGAGTTTCCGCGGCTGCCTGCCCTTTGCTGACGCCCGGGCACGCTGGGGCCGGCGCCGCTGGTGAAGCAAGCAAGCACTTGGGAACATATTCAGGAGGGAAAAAACACACAGACACAATTAATCGTCGACTCCTGAGAAAATATCGGAAAATATGGGAAGTGGGGGGGAGGCAAAACCTAGAAAATATAGGAAAATATGGGGATGTGTTTATTTGTGTGTATTTATTTGTGTCCTGGGGCCCCTTCACATATTCGGGAGCTTTTGTTCGCAGGTGGAGGGCCTTTTGTGGGCATGCGGCTAGCCGATCCGTCCTGGTGGGTCTTTGGGTCACATGGGGCCGTTTCGGGGCCGTTCTGGGGGGTTTGGAGCGGCTGGGGGCAGGCCGCGAAGCCTTCGACGAATGCGCAGCTGCAGCGCGGCGCTCCTGGCGCTGCTCCGCGGGGGGTGCCCAGCCAACTATGGGTGGCAGAGCTGGGGTACGACGTGATTGTGCATGTGTGAGACGAGTGTTTTCGGCACGTCGTTGCTGAACAGGGCAGGCTGTTCTAGCGCGTTTCTTCAGATTTAGGCCCAGAATGCTGTGTGTCAAACGTGTTCGGGCGTGGTGTCTCTTGGGCCAGCCCAGTAAAGGCATATGGGGTTTTGGGGCCAGAGCTTGATCAGCTGTCCGTGGTCAGTCTCCACTTTATCAGAGTATATGGAAAGACGAGGGAAGCATTCTAGCACAAACTGACGTGTCGAACCGAAGGCACGATTGCGGAGTCTTGGGCGTACAATGATCAGACTGATGTTGGTGATGATGATGCTGATGCAGATGCTGATGCTGATGCTGATGCTGTTGATGATGATGATGATGATGATGATGATGATGATGATGATGATGATGATGATGATGATGATGATCATGATGATCATGATGAGGATGAGGATGAGGTTGACGAGGATGACGATGATACTGATGACGAATACGGAGATGGTGATGATGGTGGTGATCATGATGATACTGATGATGTAGATTATGATAATGGTGATGCTGATGTTGATGCTGGTGGTGATTATTTTGATGATGGTATTGATGATGATGATGATGATGATGAGAACGAGTACCCTGGTGCTGCTTGTGTTACTGCTGCTGCTGATGATGCTGCTGCTGATGATGATGACGATGATGATAATGGTGATCATGCTAATCATGACTATTATGACGCTTGCGTGTAGGAGAGGATAAGAATGAGGGTAAGGAAGAGAAGGAGGATGACGATGAAGCGGAGGAGGAGAAGGAGGAGGAGGAGAAGAAGGAGGAAGAGGGGGAGTTTGAATATCACGATCTGCGTATAGGAAGCGTAATATGATGATGGTGATGATGACGATGGTGATGGTGATGATGATGTTGATGTTGATGATGCTGTTTATACTTATGATGCTCATGATGATGTTGATAGTGATGCTGATAATGCCGATGATGCTGATGACGACGACGATGATGATGATGAGGATGATGATTCTCCTCCTCCTCCTCTTCTTCGTCTGCCTCTTCTACGTCTGCCTCCTGCCCTTATGCGCTGCCTTTGACCTCTCTATATTTCTATCTCTTTCTCTCTCTACTCAATATGAATACTACTCTCCTCCTTCCCCTGATGACGATGACGGGTTGGGAGTGTTCGCCCCCCCTCCCCCCCCCCCACGTATTGTTTTTTACACACAGGATTCCCCGGAGTTGGGTTTTCGCCTGCATTTTTTCAAATGCTGCTCTCGCTGAGGCGCCGGCCTCATTTTCGGGCCCCGCTTGTTCCGAATCGTGCTCCCGCTTCAGCGCTGGCCTCATTTCCGTGCTTCCGCTCGTTCCGAATCGTGCTCCCGTTGCAGCGCTGGCCTCATTTCCGCGCTTCCGCTCGTTCCGAATCGTGCTCCTGCTGCAGCGCTGGCGTCATTTCCCGTGCCATGCCACGGCATGCAATGCAATGCTAGGTGGCGTTCCGCTGCGCGATGCCATGCCTTCAGCTGAAGCTGTGATATGCAGTGCTTACGTGCCACGTCGTGCTATGCCATGCTACGCTTTGATCTTCAACGCCATGCTGTGCAATGTTATGTTCGGGGCCGCTGTGCGATGCCATGCTTTGCGTTGCAAAGCTTTGTGATGCAATTCTTCACTACGCCACGCCACGCCATGCTGTGACATACTACGCTTTGCGGTGCTCTTCTACGCCATGCCACGCCGTGCTCTACAATGCATCGCGTACGCTTTCGGGCTCATTGCCCTGCTCGACATCCGACTGTGCGAGTAGAGAGGGGATCTACGCCATGGTAAGGGATGGGAGGGAGGGGTAGGATATCAGATATGATGCGAGCAGGAGCATGCAGATGATGACGATGCGGATTGGGATGAGGATGAGGATGAGGATGATGCCGCTGCTGACGATGGTGCTGGTGATAGTGAGCATGATGATGATGCTGATGATGCTGATGCTGAGGCTGATGGTGGTGTTTGTGATGATGTTGGTGGTGGCGGTGGTAATGGTGATGCTGACGCTGCTGCTGCTGATGATGATGCTGATGACGGTGGTGGTGGTGATGACGACAATGCTGATGGTGGTGGTGGTTATGACGATTGTGCTGGTCATGAGGATGAGGGTGGTGATGATGATGATGATGGTCATGGTGATGAAGCTGATGATGCTGCTGATGATGATGGTGATGACGATGCTGCTGGTGATGATCATGCTCATGGGGAGGAGGAGACGGATAAGGATATTTAGGACGATGAGGAAGAGGAGGAAAAGGCGGCGGGTGATGAGGTTGAGTCTGATTAGTGGTATGAAGAGATGAGGTGCGCGGAGAAGCGGAGCGTGCGCAAGGGAAAGGGTGGAGGAGGAGGGGGTCGCAAATGAACGAGGCGATGGGGGTGGATGAGAAGAACGAGGAGGGAAGGGTGGGAATAAGCACGAACAGGAGTAGTGCAAGGATCCCGTGTGCTGTTGGCGTTGGAAAGATTGCGTGGCAACATCGATTTCCGAACATCGCTCTATCCCTGTGAGGCGGTCCCCCCCGCGAGGGCCCCTCCTGTGCTCGCTGTCCCCCTGCCAGGCCTTCCTCTGCGCACGCTATCCCCAAGGTGGGGGGCGGCGCGCAGTAGGCGGGCCGGCGGCGCCAGATCGCACGCTACGTGCACCTTTTCCAGCGCGAGCCGTAGGGGGAGGAGGGCAGCAGCAGCTGCGTTCCCAGCGGCAGCGGCAGGTTGGTAACCGGCAAGCCGTGCAGACGTGAAGCAGAACCGCGTTGTGGGTGTGGGACGTGGACGGACCGAGCATGTGTAACATTGGGCGCTGGACTTCACCAGGTCGATTTGAGAAATCCGTGGAGGAGGAGCACGAGGACGAGAAGGAAAAGGCAGAGGAGAAGGAGGAGGAGGAAAAGAAGGAAGAGGAGGAGGAGAAGGAGGACCAGGAGGACGAAAAGTAGGAGGAGTAGGACCAGGAGGACGCGAAGGCGGAGTAGGAGCAGGCGGAGGAGGAGGACAAGCAGGACGAGAGGGACGAGGAGGACAAGGGTGACAAGAAGGCAAAAGAGGAGGGGAAGGAGGACGAACAGGACGTGGAGGAGGGGGATGAGGAGGAGGAGGAAGAGGAAGAGGAGGAGGAGGAAAAGGAGGGGGAGGAGTGAGGGTGATGTGGAGGATGACGAAGAGGACGCGAAGGCGGAGGAGGAGGGGGGCGAACGAAAACACGGCTCTTAGTCCCTGTGCGCTTTTGGGTCTGTCTTGGTGCCTTGCCTGTTCGGGGCAACGCCGCCCTCACAAGGAGCATTCGGGACCTTTCGGGCATCCTTTTGACGACTCCCGGGCGTTGTGTGGATTCTCGTGAAACCCTCCTGTTGGTGGTCTCCAAACCAGGTGGTGAGACACCCGGTGGTGACCCCGAGTCCCCAAAAAATAATTCTGGGTCACCACCGGGTTTGGGGACGCGCGGTCGCCACGAGGTTTTGCGTTTCCTGGGCCAGCCAACGCACGAAAACCATTACCCAAATCGCCCAAAACTCACCACCGGGTGTTCTCACCACCACGTTTGGGGACCACCAATCCTGGGCCCTCTGGTGATCGCAGGGCTTTCTGGGAGTGACTTGGGGTTTTTTGGGGCGCATCTCGGAGTCGTGTTCGCCCTCTCCCGAAGTATTTTGCTGATCGCCGGAGAGCCTCTAATTGTGCCCGAGAAGGCCAAACAGCAGGGAAACACAGGAGTAGTTTTCAATCTATCCAGTAACCGTTGGGACATGCTCAAGCCTCCTTTGAAGATTCTCGGTTCAAGATGAAGTCTATTGGATTCAATTTGGAGGCCATCTGCAGGCCAATTTGAGCAATCTTGGACCTTCTCGGACCGTATTGGGTCATGTTGGCGCGATATGTGGAAACATGCTGAAGCAATGTGGGGCCGTCCTCGAGCCTCCTGCGTTACTCTTGCAGGTACGCAGATCTTCTCTAGGATCTCCATTTTTCCCTGAAGGCTGTTGCTCCAGGTCTGGTTACTGTTTTTCTGGCTCGCCCCCTCCCCCTGCGCGCGAGACATTCTGCCACTAGACAGCCACAGTGCCCAAACTTCCTCATTTGGAGGACGACAGAAGCAGCGCTTACGCAAGTGAAGATTCACTGGGCCCTCTCGCCTGACCCCGTCGCGCTGTACGCCGTTAGCCCATCTGGCCGCCAGCCAGTTTAGATTATCCGCTGAGAAACTGTTGTCAACACAGGGGTCCCATGTGATGAGTGCAGGGCCAGCGGGTTGGCATCTAGGGCGAGGCTAGGTGGGGATATGCTCGAGTTTCGGAGCTCGAGGTTCGGAGTTCGAGATGCCGATTGTTTCGTCGGTTGCCAGAGGCCTTTTCGCCTCGAGATGCATCCCAACGGCTGCGCCTCTCCGAGGATGTTTCAGTGGTGCTCGGGTCGTACCGAACGGCCGCCGGAGGCCCGAGTTGTGGCCCGAATACCACCCAAGGGAACACTAGGGGGGGGGATAGGCTCAGGGGGGATGCATCGACCCCCAATCGCCCATTCATCGCCGATAGGAGCCCGATAACCCCACTCCGCGCAGGACCGTCCGGATCCGCTATCGGGAGCGTTCCGATCTATCGGCGATGTGTCGCCGACTCCAGGTCGATGTTTCCGCCCCCGAGTCGACCCCCTAACTTCCCCCCTCAGAGAAGATCGATTACACGTCAGCGTGGTCCTTCGCGGAAGTGACCTCTGGTGCGGGATCATTGGTTTCTACCGATCGTTGACTGCGCTGCGATAGCAGCAGTTTGTGCGTTGGATTCGGCTTCCCCACGTTCCCCGCTAAAGCCGCACACCAAAGGCCACTCTTGCCTAGGGTCACGTTTGCGTGTAGCGGAGGAGATGATGGCAGAAGACATCCAGAACCTCCCGGTGGCTGCCTGCATGCAAGAGATGGACCTGATGAACACGAGCTGGCAGGCCGGCTCCCCGCACGAGCAGCGACTGGTGTGGAAGGGCGGCGAGTGTGTCGTCAAGACGAGCCTCCCGTGGCCCCAGAGATCGGAGACTTCGAACAAACGGATGGTTTCAGGCTATGACTGGCCTCAAGGAGCCACGCCACGGCATCAACCTCGCTATTTGTATATATATATACACATGCATCTATACATATATATATATATATAGATGTATACGCATATAGTTGTGCATGCATGCGTGCATGCATGTATTCACGTCTGTCTGTTTGTTTGTACGTCTGCCTGCCAGTCTGTCTGTCGGTGTGTCTGTCTGTCTGGCTGTCTTTCTGTCTCTCCGTGTGTCTTTCTGCCTGTATCCCCCCCCCCAACCACGAAAAGCATTGCATCCCGATGCGGGTTCACGGCGACGGGGGCGAGATATTGACGTGGTTGCTTGCGCGGGGTCTGCAAAACAGCTGTCATTGCTCACCGGGGCCTGGCCGCGCTGCGTCACAGCCGAGAAACACCGCCACGACGGACGCGATGCGCGACATGACATCTGGCGCGCCATTCGCTGGAGTTAACGTCCTCGCGAGGTGGCGCCGCCCAGAGAAGGATGCTGTGGGCGCTCGCCCCCGCCGCGCACCCTGGGCACTGTTCGGCTCGTTGCGTTGTGCGTGTAATTGTTGCGCGCTGATTTTTTATTGGCGACCGTCTTCACGTCCTTGAAATGACCCGTCGCGCGATGGACGACTCGTGGCCGGGCGGGTCCCGCTTTGTCGCGGGTGGCGGATTGGAGCAGCGAGAGTTCCAGTCCTGGCAGCAGGCGCTCGGAGTTGGCTGGTCAGGCACTGCGCGAGGAAGCCGCGCCCCGTCGTGCATGGGCGCGCGACATCGCGGGCGACCTCGAGTTCTTTTCTGCCCACTTGAGGGCACGGGCACCTGACGCAAGGGATATGCGTTGGCAATGCGACGGCAACAGGTCCGCGAATCCCTGGAACGACTTTGTTAAGGACGCAGGGTGCACCAAAAGACAGCTGGTGCCCCCAAGTAGGGAACGCGCGCTTTGGGGGGGGTGGAGACGCGGACGCGGGCCGCGGCGGGGGGGGGGGCTGAGTTAGGGCAGTGGTGGTGCGAGGGAATCATCATTCGATTTAATCGCCAGGAGCGCACGCCTGGCCATTGGATGACTCGGCCACGTTCCACGCCCTACGTGTCTGATCACCCTTTATGTTCGGCGTGGGGAGTGCGGGCAGCAATGCTATCGACAGACGCCATGCACGCGATCGACGGAGGTGTAGCGCCCCCCACGCGCTGGGGAACATGTTTTGACATGATATACTAACAGAGCGATGGTCGACGTAGCATTGCTGTAGGTAAGCTACGACAACATACTCACGCGACGTATGGTGAAATTGACGCAGAGGGGCATGAGCTGTTCTTCTTCGGCTGGTGCGTTCCCACCGCACTGGTAACAGCTTGTAATATGTGTTTGGCAATGTGTCTGTGGTTTGAACGTGTCTGCTTAGAACCTCAGAGTTTGCAAGAGTTGAGTGTGTTTGGTGTGTTATTGGTGTGTAAGGCGCTCGGACTACACGAGCCTTTGTTTCCTGGCGCTTGGCCAGGGGCACGGGAAGTTCGGGCTGTTTTTTTGTTGAGAGTAAGAGAAACGCATGTGCCCACTATTCTTGCATGACGGCGACGACCAAATGCGCCGCCCAGAGGACACTCGTGCCCGTTGCAGCAAAGCTAGCTACGTCGCCTTTTTATATCGATGGCACGGCACGGCGACAGATGCGGGCGTCATGCGGTTCCTATCTAAGTGGGTTATACCCTGTCACGGCGGCTGCGGGGATGCATCTCCCACCGCAGGGGCATACATGTTGCGCGACAACCTTTGAAACAACACCTATGTCTTCCAATGCGTTTGCTTCTCATGCCAAATCCAAGAACTTGTGCACATGGAACATGGTCAATACACACCACCACTTCTACCAGTTTAGGCAATCCACGACATACGTCAATTGTAGGTTGCTCTGGCGTCACCAGGCCGAAGCTTTCATGCGCCACATCTGCAAGGTCGCCAGTCGTCTCACGATGGGAACCAGCACTTAAGACTTGTCGAGCACATTGTGTGAACGTTGGAGAATCGGCTTCTAGATCGGGAGCTTTGCTCGCGGGCTGGCCCCTGTGACCCCTCCCCCCCCTCTCTGGATGACCTCCCCCGTCGATGCCCGCGCCCTCTCAAACGCGCGCCCCAGCGCAAACCGATGTGTTTCGACGGCCTGGCAAGCCTCAAGATGCCAAGGCGGGGCGGATTTCGACTTGTCTCGGCATTCAGAGTAGCGCAGTTGGTTTCGGCATTCTGCCGAACAGACCTCAGCGGCGCCACCGTGGCGCTGCGCAGCGGTAGAAGTACGCACTGTCCTCCTCCTCCTCCTCCTCCTCCTCTTCCGTTCCCCTTCCCCCCGCCCCCCATTTCCTCTTTTCCCCCCCCTCCTCCGCGCCCGCCCCTCCCCCCCCTCCTCCTATCGCCCGCCCTCCGCCCCTGAGCGCAAACCCTACCCCCTCCAGCACCAAGTAAACCCTCAATCCTAACGGCCTCTGCGCGCGCACAGTGGACCCCCCCCTTGATGCGAGGGGAATAAGGGAAGGGGTTTATAAAAAGGAGCGTCTATTGCGCACGCGCGCACATGGATATGTTTACATATGTATGTTGAGCGTACATACGTATGAAGGTGACCTCACCAGCTGTCAGCTGCATGCTATACTATGTGTGTTATTACGGCTGTAAATGGATCTCTAAACCCAGTGTATGTTATGATCGTCGTTTCGCCCAATAGCTATACTAATGCAGACTTGTTCGCTTGCATACATATACGATGGTTATCATGCTCGTGCTGGCGATGGTAATGATGATGATGATGCTGCTGATGATGATGGTGGTGATGGTGGTGGTGATACTGATGACGATGGTTAGGATGACGATGATGCTGATGACGACGATGATGATGGAGGCGACGCTGATGTCCATGGTGATGGTTGTGACCACCGCCTGTCCTTCCGCGCCCACGCGCAAGTTTTTATACGAAATCAAATAATTACGGGGTCTTACTGTTGTGTCAAGGCGACGTGGTTTTGCAGAAGGTATTGACATCTGCGCCTGCGCGCCTGCCACGAACGTTTGATTTGCTCATCCTCGGCGTAAGAAACAAAGCGCGCGGGGGGGATGATGGTGATGATGATGACGACGATGACGTTGATAATGATGATTGTGATGGTGACGATAGGCATCATGATGAGAATGATGATCATGATCATGATGGAGATGAAGTTGGTGCTGATGATGGCATTTACGATACTGGTGATATGACAGTTTCACGAACGTCGGATGGATCCGAGGATCACGCGCCTGACGTTTGCCAAGCGCCAGGCCAAACAACCAAACTTCAGGCAAACCCCCACGCCCCAACTCGCGCCCCAGCTCTGCCACTTCCGCCGCCCAGCTGCGCCCCATCTCTGCTCCTGCCGCGCCCCATTTCTCGAAGCCCGCCGCTACCCATGCTGCACTTCGCCGCGCCCCATCTTCGCGCTCGCACGCGGGCCGCGCGGGGCCCCGTCTTGTGCGATGCGCCGGCCGCGCTCCATGTTTGAGGCGCGTGTCAGGAGGCCCCATCGTTTTGGGGCTCAAAGCGCGTCTGGGTAGTCGTGCCCCGCTGCAGGTTTTACGAAAGGTGGCAAAAGACCGCAGAAGAGGCCCACAGGGGTGCCGGGGAGCCCAGGACCGCCCGGTCCGGCATCCGTTTCGCTTGGGATTGCCCGGCGATTTGCATGAATCGTGCTCTAGCCTCACTGCCGGGATACATTTCTGGTCCGCACGGCCACAATATGTCTTAAAACATGCAGTGCGGTGCACATGGCTGTGCTGTCACCCTTTTCCCGCCTGTCAGCGTTCCTAGGGACCCCGGCTCTTCGTCTTCGCTGCTATTAGGGTGCATTGCCGGGGTAATTTTCCGTCCATCCCTGCCCACTGGCTTGTCTTTGAATCCCGTGTTTTGTCCCTTCCCTCTTGCCCCTTTTCCTTCGTCTCAGGTCCTGGCGAGAACTCTGCGGGGCCGTTCAGGCTTTAGTCACGAGGTCCGTGGGGGCTTCTGAGCAAGAGTTGCGCTCCTCTTTCTGTTCGTCCTCCGCTCCCTCCCCCTCTGGTACCATGATTAGCACGCTCGTGGGCTCATCCAATCACGCCCGTGTCACAAGATTGCAAACCAGGCCGCCTGCGATCCGATTCGATGCGATTCGATTCGCTGGCTGGGGCCGCGATTCCGACTCGGTGCGACCCGGTTCTGTTCACCGTCGTCGGCCGGGGCCAGCGGGAGGCTCGGCGTGGCAATCCGATTCCGATCCAATTTCGGGATGGTTTTCGCTGGCGATCCGACCCGCTCGCGATCGGGCTCGATTCGATCCAGCCCAGGCCTGCCAGCGCACCTCTGACGTGCATGACTTCTGCCTGTCTGCCTGCATGTCCGCCTGCCCCTCCTCTTCCTCCTCCTCTCGACCTCCTCCTCCTCCTCCCGCAATCCGACTTGCCCCGTTTTTTTTATTCCTAGATATGTGCCCTGAAGCGCGGGGATCTTTCCTGGTCTCAACTTGCCACCCTGAATGTCGCATCCACTTTGTTTGAAAGCATGGTGTTGATATATTTCTTTCCAGAAAAATCATTGGTCTCGCTATTCGGGGCCACCTTGCTCGTTATGTTCCTCTTCGTTGCCCTCCTCTCATCGTAGCCCCCATACCATCACACAATGGTCATGCTCCAGAGCCGCTGAGGCTCTCCGTGCAGCTGTTCTGGCATAGACCAACCACCTTTAGCTAGCAACCTTGCGAAGAAATACACGAACCAGGGAACCCGTCCCATGCGCTATCGCTATGGCGATCTGGAGGCCGCCGCCGGCGACTGCGGATCCTCACGTGCGGCAGCCGACCCAGTTACGGCACGCAGTTTTGGGCCGCCTCCGGTTTTGC